TATCTACGACCGCCGCCGCAGATTCGCCCGGGGATTTGAATCAAACTCGATATTGTTATGGTCTTATAATTATGGTCGATATCATTATGGTATAATATAACACTTAGGTACAACAATAATTATTAGCCGCTGGTAGGTTTATGAGATAAGTATATACACTATTCTACGGGGAGGTAACGGCGGCAGAAGAAAAAAAAGGTCGTAATATATATTATTATTAATATCTGCAGCTGCGGTACATATTACAACTGTGGTATCTGCGGAGCAAGTTAACTTTTTTTCCGGTATTTTGGAATTATTCCAATAACACTGCAGTTTATGAATATTATCGATAAATCATTTGTAGTTGTACCTATATATACCTGTTCTCTTGCCGAGTCGCGATAACGGGCCAGCGGGGTATTATATCATTCCTTCTACGAGTGCCTTTGTCGCACTTTGTCTATAATAATATGCACATAATAACATTATATTATTATTATAGTCATGCGACCGTAACATCGACTATTAGTGCGAACCGCGAAATTATAATGCGTTACTCGAACTTGTATTATACGAGCAGCGAAGAAAATGTGCACGCGTGCTTGCAGTTTATAGGTATAATATAGTCGCAGGTACACACTTTTATGATGCTCACCTCGTATATTATATTATATATTATTATTATTATTGCTGTGCGTTACAAGTGTACACGCCGATAAGACTTACAGGATTCGCCTCAATATTTCCAGTGGAAACCGTCGTATCGATATCGACGCTGCAGAGCCTTGTATGGAAATATTAGAATCGAATCGTTCTCGCGGTTATGTAGATAAAAAAAAAACATGTAGTAGGTCTCGTGATAAAATATATAATACTACGAGCACTCATACATTTCGAGTAGAAAACTGTTTTCTGAAAATATAGACGATTCAATGGATAATGACCATGGAAAATCCCAAGTTTCCTCCTCGTCATATTTATTTTGACTAAAAGTTGACGATTTTTCAAGGTGGATGGGAAAAAATTGTGTTCAGATAATTCATGTTTCGACTAGACTTAATTATACTATGGAAATCTGCAATAATGTATTTCGATGCTAAGACACCAAGGATTTCAGTAGATACTTATAATCTACTTTGACGAGTTCACGTATACAATATTATACTCGAAGGTGATATTGTTAACGATAGTGATGACTGATGGGACGGAAAAACAGATTTGCACACAATTTGGACGTATTACGATCGAGGCCTCCATGGACCCATATTTACACTTAATTCAGTCCAAAAAACAACCTAATCGATTCCGGAAAATAATACCCAACTTAGTCCAAAATTTTTTTTTAAATATACATTTTTCTACCATTTTTTTACTCACATGTATTTTATTATTATTATTGTCAAATAACGCTACCACCTACCAACGATCATATATACCACGTTACAAATATTTGTGTGAAAATAGTCATCTCTTCCTGCGCAGTACTTACTTCATATCGTCAGCAATGAAACATACGACGTATATTATAAGATAAGAAACAATTTGAAAATTCAATGTCAATACTATACAGGTAGGTACGTAGTAAAAAGTTGGTAATTGTAATTTTGACTAAATAAGTTTTAATGGCCGCCGTTTTGTATTTAGCCCCATTTATATAACTCCAAATCTAGGACCAAACTATACGTCCAAAATCCTCCGAAATGGTATCTTACTCGTCATCCGCCTTACGATATTATTTACATATTGTTATAGGCGTGACTAGGTAATTAATCACGATGATATTAAGCCGACTGCCTATGGCGTATAGACAACAAACTAAAATGATAAAAATATACAAAAACGTCGTCGGTATACTATAATAATAATAAAAATAATAATAATGTGCAGAGCGTCGATGTACAATCTGTTGCGCGAGAGACGACGACTCGACGAAACCGTAACGCCCGGTCCGTATCATTATATAGGTATGGGTATGTAATATAGAAGACAAAGTGTCATCCAGGACCTTGGAGAAGAAATTCCTGTCGAAGTCCTGACTTCTCTCCAATCAGGTCCCGTACGCGATGGCATGTCCGTTTTGTCACGATATAAACGACGGGCACCGCGTATACGTATATATAATATACAATAAGCACAAGTGCGCGCACACACACACACACACACACACACACACACGAGTAAAGGTACACACGCACGGCACGGAGCTGCGTCGTCGTTCCGAGAAACCATTGCGACTGCACCATATTCGGCAACCGGTCTCTTTTAATTCCATCGTATACTCTGTTTTCGTACCGTTTTCATTTAGACCTGTTTGCTATTTTTTTTTTCACAATTTTTTTTCTTACACTTAACTCCCTCTTCCGTCGACACTCTGTCGTGTCCGAGTGCGTATACAGTGCGTGTACGAACGACGGTATATACCGGCAGATGACGAACAAAACATAACGGGGTTACCGACGACGACGACGACGACGTAGGTATATACCTACCTATACCTACCTATTAATACCTATAATATTATTATTATGTATACCTACCAATGACAGTGGCGCTGACGAACAGCATTGACCAAGGATGTCAACCGTATTTTCACTATTTCTCATCACGTGCAACCGTTATCGCCCCGTCCCTATACTGCATGCACATGACTGCGGTACGATGTTTACTATTTTTACTATGTATTATTATTATTGTTATGACGTAAGGATCAATATAATATGCAGACGAGACACGCGTCACACATTATAATAAAATTATGTGGCTGGCCCGATAACCCGACTGCAGTTTCTCCAGTTTTGTCACTAAAGACAAAACAATGACGTGAGTAATACAGCTCTATACCTAGGTATAATATAATAATATTAGTATACCTATATATCACAATTTTTTAGAATGTACAAACACAAAAAAAAACTAAGAGTAATTAGTTTTTTAACACGTAGGTATAGATATAGATGGGTTTCAATATAATTTTCGTGATACATTTATTAAAACAACTATACGTAATGCGTTTTACGACGTTTTTCTAGACCATTTTATGATAAACCATGCAAGGTAGCATAGCTGATATTATAAGTACAAGTGTACAACGAGTTCCCCAATTCATATGATATATTATATAGGTACCTATATAATAGCATATAATAACCGAGTAATAACAAATGCGAAAAACATCCTTACCGCAAACATATACCTACCTATCATAATAGAATTATGATTGCGGGGCTATATAATGCTAATATCATATTATAATAATATTATGTACGAAATCAAATCACGTATTTTGGAATACGAAATTTTATCGAAACAAAAAACGTACCCAACAATAATTTTTTGTCGCACACTTTGAAAACTCCACCGTCCATTATACTCAAGCGACAAACTTAAAATATGCATAATCTTATATTATATATTATTATCATAGGTAGGTATATACACGCGGTGGTGTGGCATTAGTCACAAGAATGACTGGTATCCGTGTCTCGTGAGTGTTTTTTTTTCGGAACAGACACGACGAAAAGCAGTCCATCGGCGAAAAGCAGTTTATTATTATTCTTTGTATGTATCATGTACCGGCCATGTAGACGAGAGACAGCAATCTTTGTCACGCCTTCGTCACACACGAATCCTGTGCAGAGTATCTATCAACGCTGTTATTGTTTGGATTGCAATACATAAATTAAGCTCAATTGTGTCAGATATATTTAAATAATGAACCGGTTTTACGCCTGCCTATAAGTAAATCACAACAATTTGTTGGTTTTTTTTTTTTGTTTCACTAAACATTTCTCAATTACCTAAAATACATCGAATGCTGAGTGTTATAATAATATATATTATCACGTAAACAAGGTCTTATAGAATGCTTTGTACACTTGTTCGACGTTCGCGTAATATGTAAAAAATAATCCGATGTACAATTTTGTAATAATTGGTCGATGTATTTATAATATGAAAAATTATAGCAATGTTCGAGCAATTGTTTAGAGTGAGTCTAAAGTCTAAACCTTACAACAGTCTACACCTCGACCACAATTCGAGACTGTTAAGCACAACAAAAATCAGATCCACTATAATATGTATACTATTATGCTTATACATTTATACCTAACTCAGCAAATAATATAATATAGTTCAACCGTTGTACGATTAGTCCATAGTGAAAAAGACTAGAAAAAAAAATAGTGTCTTAAAGTAATAGAATTACCATAGAATATTATTTTAAAGTTAGTACAAGCTTCCAAAGTAAAAAATAAATCCCCCTATAACTTAAATGATAACTTGCATATTTTTCATTGTTTAATAACAAGAACATTTTTTTTAAAAATGTGTTGTATTTGTTGCCTGCTATTTCAATACAGCAATTTTTTTCCTCGCATTCACAATCTAAATCCTACTAAAATATGATATCACACATATTATGATAATATTAAGTCGTCCTTTTACTATATAATAATAAATCCATATCTCAGCTAAATGATTTCAAATTTGCTCTTCTACAACGAAGAACTAATCTAACGTTCTCGGTGGCTCTGCATGGACGTTGGATAATATATTTTTATAATTAAATATGGTTCATTACAGTTCGAACAATATTATTATCGACGCAGCCAACCCGAGTTCGATTTCTTGGCCACGGGCGGCATTTTTCTTCGGACAAGTCACGGTGTCCGGAGAACAAGTGGCTCCATCCAGCACCTGGGCATGGTAGATACCTACGGGTGCTCAATCAAAAATTCTGCCAAACACAACACACACGTGTAAAAACCCTACCATTACAAACCCTACTACCTCCAATCATAAAACCCCACAATCTGCTAGTCGCTGGGCTTTAAAGATTAATAAAAAAAAAAAAAAAATATTATCGTCAGTTCATAAATACGAAAGACGTGTTTGTTGAACATCGAAAATATTATTGGATAATATTATTATCATTGGTACGTAGCCTCCAGCATAAGGGTAGCGCCCTCTAGTGAGATGACTAAAGAGCAAAATAAAAAAATGTGACATGCAATTACCTTTACACTCGTGTGCGTTTGATGCGGTCGCTCTGCTCCACGGCGCGTCGTTGAAGAACGGCAGACACTCATTGCAGTCCGGCCCAGCCGTATTGTGCTCGCACCGACACACTCTCCTGGAAGTGCCATTGATTGAAGTGCTTTTCACACATTCACTGGCGTGGCCGTTACACTTGCATCTGTTGCAAAAAATGAATAATTATTGGTTTTACATGCTTAGAAGACAAGAAAGACTGTTCGTGGTCATCGTGAACACTGAGTTTCCCGTCGAATAAAACAGAATTTAAATCAGCAATTCGCTTATCACATATTTTTGGAAAATTCGATGCCGTGTTGTTAAAAAAAAAAATAAACTGAAGTGGAAGTGGTTTTTAATTTTAAACAAAATATTAACAAATTAATTTAAAAAAAAATGATCAGTAGTGTAAGGTTTAATCATAAGGTGTAGTTAAAATGTATTTATAATATAATTATTATTATTCACCTGGCTCCAACAGCGAAATCAGCAATAGCATAGAAATATGACTTCAGTACTTGAGGATCGCCAAAAACTTCGTCACCAAATGTATTTAAACGATCAAGCGTAATACGGACATCTGTTGCAGTTACCCAGTCCTAAAATAGAAATTCAACAATACAAAATTTCGTGAACGAACATTTACAATAATATTATACATATATTTTAGTTGATTTAAGACTTACACTGTTAAAACGGTTCATGGTTAAAAACGAAATATATTATGACCAATTCATAACGATACAATTATTATAAATTTTAGTAATATTATCAAGACACACTACAACAATGAGATATGTTAAGGGATTCCATATAGGCAATTTAATTTAACGTTTTAATAAAGGAAACATTAACTAAGCACGTTTAGTTGCCTGCCTTTAAGGCGCCCGGTGCAAATGTAATTTTATCCACAAAAATACGATCTACGGGAATTTTATAATCATATTATGTAATATCAACCAATTTTGACAATTTTTTCCTCATAGAAGGTAATATTCTACAGCCCACATTGAATTCCTTTTTTCAATATTTTTATATCAAACTTTATGAGATGTGTCTTCAAAAATAATACAATATTCTAAGGTTTTTTTTACAAATTATATTATACCATTATCCATATCAACCCTCCCACTCCCTAAATAGGTAGTTGATTAGTGGAAAAATACTATAATTAAGGTGGCAACAAAAATATAAAATCTAATTTACAAATTACATAGAATTTTGGACAATTTTAAAAACCGGTACTATTTAATATTATAAAATCAGTTAGGTACTTGAAGTTTTTTACAGAATTTTAAATACGACAATAAAAATATTATTAAATTAAGTAATAATCGTAATATTCAATATTTTTTTAACGTTAATAATTTTTTACCAAATTATTCTGGTGATACTGATTTTATGAATAGCAAATAACTCATTTCAAATTTGGAGCAATGTGTACAACTCTTAATATAAATATTGTACGATACCTATTTTATATTATTAATGTTTCAACTTTTATTAAAACATTTATATATATAGTAATTTGATAGGTAAGTTTATGTTATCGAAAACATGTTAAAACTAATACATTTTTCCCGATTACTCAATTTTAACATTATATAATTTTATATTATGAACATTCAATTAAACTGTACGATTAGCTATTGGCATAACTTAAATCTATAGACAATTTTATTTTATAATACTAACATAACTCATAAGTCATTAGTCATTACACATTTACAAACGACATAATATTATATAGTTGATCATACCCAAAATTCCGATTTTGTATCGTAAAATTTAGCCGATGGTCTACCTTCTAGTGTGGAAAATGGCACACTTCCTCCCGTCAATGGCGAAATATCTGAAAACTCGGAAGTACAGAACGCCCTGGTCTCTTGTTCGCCAAGACGAATGTAATTCAAGTCTGGCAATCCGTAGGTGTCTCTACAACTCCCACTAAAAGCAAACAAAACGATCGATTATATACAGAATAATGTTATGTGCGTATGGGTAATTTAACCAGTCAACACAAATGAGTTGTAGCGTAAAACTATAATTTGTTTTTTTTTTTTTTTTTAAACCTCTTGTTATGCATTCTGCCTGGAAGAAAAATCTATCACAATTATCCCATATAGCTTAAGGTCAAAAACTCAATAACAACAATAATAATAATAAAAATCACATATTATTATTATTATTAAAGATTCAGTTTAATATAAGTATACCTACTGTAAAATAGTAAAATCGAATGTTGCACACTATTAGATATTTCGTTTTTTATTTTTGGGGAAATCGATTTTCGTAATTGTACGATAATTAATCTCCAAGCTATACACACCGATTTAAGTCTATGCGTTAATACACTCACCTGTAGAACTGATACGGTATCCACGGTCCATCTTCTGTACTTTTCTTATACATCGCGAAACTCTCGGGCCTCGGCGAGTAAAATAGAAGTCGGATGTATGTGATATCGAATGCTTTACCTATAGTTAAACAAGAAGAAAATTAATAAAAACTGTTAATTCGTTTTTTCACAAGTCGTTCGTTATAAATATATATATTGATTAACGTTGTGCAACCAAATTCATGATTAGACCTGTAGTCCGAAACTCTGATATGATTTTATTCTAAGAGGTATATAGGAAGCAATATTTTTAAATGTTTCTAAATAAATTTTGCTATGCGCATTCAGTAGCTAAAAATCGAACAAACCCAACGGCATATAAGTTTATAGCGGTGGCAGTATTTAATTGGGTAATTACAGCTCTTCTTTTTTTAGTACCTCAAAACGTTTCTTGTATTTAATAAACTGGTTTAATATTCTAAATGCCTTGATTGATTATTAATTTTGATATTATATTCAAAATTCTGATCGAGGGGAATAATTTATTGATCGTGCAAAATTAGTCTTCCCAAAAAACACTTCATCTGTTTCGACCACAACACGAATGTGACACACCCGAACCAGTAGCTCACAGACTAACGGTACCCGAACTGATTTATATTAAAAAATTAGTACCAACCCATAACATTTTATGAACATTTTTTTTTTAATACGTTTTGACGATATGTCGTTATACGAGCTGGTTGTTGAGCTATAGGCAAAAGATGTTAATTGGAATACTTAGAATTCCAAGATCATATTATTGTTCATTTTCCTCAATTTTAGTGTTATATTATATCAGTAATTATGTTAATTTAACACGGTTATCAAAATAAAAATAAAAAACAATATGCAAATCTCATTCGTAAGAATTATATATTATATTACTATTAATAAGCATATTTAAATATTTAACGTTTATCTACAGATATTCAGAGTTATAAACTCTAAGCTAATTTAAAAATATAATTTGTATTCACTGTATCCACAGATGATTCTAAAATAAAATACCAACAAAAAATGATATTTTTCAACGTTTTTATAGCACATTGAGATTTACCTACTTACTTACTTTATTTCACGAATACATTTTAAATTCAACTTAACTTCAGTCGTGTAAACTAAATCATAATAGAAATGTTTCTCATCTGTATATACCAGTGATTTACAATTGGTGGTCCGCGTGTTGATTTTGAGGGTCAGTATGATTGTGTAGTACTGTTGTGATTTTTCATTTTCATTTTTTTTTATTGAAATTATGAAATTCAGGTATTTTGAAATTATTCAAACTCGATTATCGTGAAAAAGGTAAATAATCAATTTATTCAAATTTAAAAGTAATAAGTAATAGTAGACCCCAAAAAAGGGGTCCCCGGACCAATTAAAGTTTTAGCTAGGGGTCTGTGGCTTCATACTAAGTGGGAACCACTGATATAGTATACGAAAGTTACTCTTTAAAATAAGTGGTTTTAAAAAAAATAGTTTTCTAACATAAATTTAACGATTATGGAAAACTGCAGTTTTATGCAATTTTCAATATATTATTATCATTGTTATCATGCATGCAAAAAATTTAATATTTATTTGAATCGTGTCTATAAAAGTTATATACCGACATACCGCTGACAACGGCATATGCCGGTTGGATACGGTTTGTGTTTGCAATTTCACTCACGACATTATAATAATATCCGATATGCAACCCAAATGCATTTACATATTTACTTATTATTGCGGCGCATATGCACTTACATCTACAGAGTGTTCAGATATTTTTCGAAATCCGAAGTTATCGGTAACCGCACCGTAAATCGGTAAATTCAAAATAAAATAGACAAAATGACAATGTATAGTTTGCAGTGTTGATTGTTCGGTTTTCAAAAATTGGATAAATGTCAATGTATTTTTGTGTTTCGTTGAGCTATTCAAATGTGAACGTGAAACAATCACAATTTAATAAAAAAATATCCAAACAACATTATTCATTGAATCACTGTGTATACACTATACATGCACCGCCTGCAACAGTGTGCTTCAACTCTTTACCGACGTTCCAGAGAAATAAAACGCACCTAAATAAAATTGCATATAAAAAATAATATCGCTGTTCCTTTGTGCAGAGCCGACAAATGTCTTTGTCAACCGAGAAATATGTTATTCACTACCGTTTGTCAGAGAACAATTATTATTATTCTGGTCCATGCGTAATAAGTACATAAATTATTAGCAACCATATTACGATAATCGTGTGATAAATTAAACAGTGCCAATATTATGGTAGTACCTATATAATGTTATAATATTATTATGAGTAGAAAAAAACAACAATTTTACCTTATAGGTACATTTTGAAACCTACACTGATATACTCCAATGATGGTAAACAAATTGTGTCGCATATAATCTAAAATATATCAACTGCAGAGCACATAAGACTTTAGACTTGTCGTACAACCGTTTTTTGAGTGCTTCAGCATAAAAACCGATATGAATAAATTATTTTTATTTTTTCTAATAATCAATAGTTACGTTGAATCTGGCTAAAGTGTATAGTTGTAGAACCAACTCGGTATATATATTTTATATGTTCTCCAATTAACATATCGGACTATTTACAACAGAAAAATCGGTGGCATTATAATTTATTAAAAATAATAATTACTATAGTGAATGAACTGGATATACATATTATAGGGCAATAATTTAAAACGTAGTTAGCTACGGGTGGGGTTTACTTCATTCGAATGATATGCGTGGGAGACGAAAAAATAAATTCTGTTCATCCTACGGGAAATGACAAACGCCCCAACGTATTTTTTATTTATTTGTCTGGCTTTACTAGATCCGAATTCTATTTTACAACAAATTAACAGCCGGTTTTCGTTCGACAATTAGTGTATACATATTATATAATATATAAATGTAATACGTATAGTGTCAATTGTTATTCGCTTAAAAAACTCGAAAAAAAATTATTATTTGCGCGATACTGTCGTTATTCGTTATATTATTATGCATTTATGCCACAATAATTGGACTGTAAAAATTATGTTTCAAATAGACTGAATAGACATAACTGTCGTGTAATGTATGCATCCTTTTACAATTGATATTAAATAATATTTTATTTGCTGAAGAATGAGTCTGTGTCGATCACCAAAAAATGATTAATGATAGATTGGTAGCACGAAAATTATAATAAATAACTAAAACCAAGCAATGCAATATGTCTTCAAAGCTTATCTTTCTTTCAAATCTCGTCATTTAATGAGACAATAGTTCAACGAATTATATATTAGGTATATTTATATTCTACAACATAAAAGTATTGAGGTAGTTTTCACTGTAAATATTGTAGGCTCCGTATTTGAAAAAGATCAAATAGAATGTTTTATTATTATTGTTATTATTTTTTTGTAGTATTAATATACTAAAAACTTTTTAGGATAAGTGGATTAACCAAACGACATAATATGATATTCAATAATTTATTTTTAGTACTCTTTAATTATTAAAATTGGAAATAGGACTACATTATGGCAACCACGTGTTTTTAAAAAGCATATTACAAAATCTATTGCCATTGGTATCAATGGAAGTACAGAGGTCATCGTTTGAATGTTTCCTGTTTGAGCTGTTATCTGTGCACGAAGCGCTTTTTATCGTGGAATATAATAATTCTTTGGTGACCGAAAACACTTAAGCTGAATTGTTTATAAAATTATTGCCTAGTGTAAATTATTAAATTTAATAACATATTATAATTTAAACATTTCAAACGAGTAAATAATATTTTTAGTAGCAAAGTAAATTACAATTTTTAAGGAACTTAAATTATAGAAGAAAAACATTAAAATCGAATACATTTTGTAAAATTGTGTGGAATAGGAATCTACTGATGTAGAACGAACAAGAATCAATACTGATATTTATATATTTTTTATACCTTAAGGTATAATTGATTATAAATAACAAGTTTATTATAATTTATTGCCAAAATAATTATATTAATGATGGTCTTGAGATTTGTTTTAACTGTTTTCAAAGAACACGTGGATAATTATTCATCACTCAACGAAAAAAAATGTAATTAAATCGATTTTTATTTAGAACCTGTCAGATACGTCATAAACGTATACAATGAGGAACACAAACAAAGAAAACTGACCATATTACGATGTGTTGATTGTAAATTTTGACAGGTCCATAGACAAGTTTCTCCAGTTACCATTTTATGGGTTTACATTAATTTTCGTCGGGCCACGAATCTATTAGAACTCGGAAGGCCTATATCTTTGAAGGATGTAAAACCCTGATATATAATATTATATATTATGAAAACGATGAAATAATCAGCGGAAAGGTCAGCCCACGTAGTATTGCGATAGGATGTTTGATTTTTTTTTTTACATGAAGAGTTCAGCGATACAGGATGTACAAATAATGCATTGCTAATTTATATATTTAACATATTTGATTAAAATTTTTCTTAAAAGCTATAAAATAATTTGAAAGATTGTAACAATATTTAGTTTATGATGCAATTAGGTACCTATTTTATGTTTGGCCTGTTAGGTGTTTATTACATAATCATAATATATTCATATTGTATTATAAAAATACCGAGATAACATTATTAACGGTAGACGACCATACACAAATCAAATTAGAGAAATTATATGTAAATAAATCAAGAGGTGTATAATATATATATTTATTTATTTTTCAGGTTTTCGGAGGACAGAACTAATTACACCTGGGTACGTGGTTTAAACGATTCGAAAAACATCATGCACGGTAATCGTCCGAAGTACAAACAAGAACGAATTTGAAAGATTCAACCGGCTGACAGATCAATAATAATCAATATTAACTCAACTGCAGAGTGTAATTATTGTTCATCGTGGAAATCGATAGCAGCTGTTATTTATACAACGTACCTGATGATAATATAACATTATTATGATGGATATATTACGTGTGCACCGACCGACAAAATAATTAAATAAACGTGCAGTCGAGTATTTCGATCTTACGCGTCACAGCGATTTATGCTTAGCATCTTGAAATTATTATCAAAAAGACGTTTATAAACACGAAATAATAGGCATAACCTACAATTTTGTTGCATCCCGGACTTAATTGTTTTCGAGATTCAAATCAAAACCTATACACACGAATAGACCGTGTATTCTTATACGGATACCTGTAAAGAATATTTATAAAGGTTTTCCGTCAAATATAAATGTTTGAGAAATGAGAATATTACCAATACTGTAAGTGATTATATATCATTATAATATTATTATGATAAACTTACAATGCGGCAATAGCAAATTTTCGGAAGTAATGGTTTATTATCGTAGTGCCTATTGTGTTATAATTAAATACATTTTTAAAAGGAAACGTGCTGATACTTCCTACACATAATAGGTATAATTTTATTTTTCTACATATAGTTTCATACTATTTGATTTGAAGACTAAACTAATTCCTTTAAAAAAATAAAATTAATATTTTTCAAACTCTTCATTAAACTTTATTTACAACTGCCTAATAATTATAAAACCCACAAATGTCCGCCTTCTGCTATTCAAAATTTGCTATCTTTTTAAGGCGTACTAGCTGATATTATTAACAGAACACATAGGATTACTTAATAACCAGACTGTAAGTGTTAAGTTACAGGTATAGTTGCTAGAAAAAAAAAATAATTATAAGCCTCGAATCACCACTCACCACTCAGCATTAAAATCTCAACACTCATCATCGGGATTTCACTGTATAATAATACAATATAAAACTATAAAATGGAGATAATTGCACATTAAAATAAATACAGTATGATCAAATTCCGCCATTGATTGCCCATCCGAAACAGTAGCCAAGCATGTAAATTACAATTTCAACAAAACGAAATGTAAATAATATAGGCAATGTCCGAAATAGTTAATATAATTAATTAAAAACATAAGTTAATATCATCATAATACTATTACAAAATATTCAATGAATTATAGCAGATTATAATAAATTGTACATTTGAAGGTGAAAATAAAAAACGTAAATTAAAAACCAATCCTTTGGGGATATGGTTTATATTATTATATACTTGCAGTTAAGCAAAGTAACATTTTCAAAGATCAAGTGGGTGATAATTTAATATGTCCATTTGAAAAGAATATAAAACTGGAAATAAATTGACAAGCTTAAACAAATTGACAAAAATTACTTTCGAAACATAAAGTGATTGCGTCTCTCGATGGGGAGTCTATATTCGGTTAATGGATTTTAAACTATATATACATTTAAATCAATGTCAAAAAAAAATGTATCTTATAAATCATAAAAGCTACTTTTTTTTAAAAAAAACAAAAATCACAAAAAAGCAATAGGTACTATTGATTATTTAATGGAAAAATGGATTTTCCTCTCTGAATTATTGGTAAAACAATAAGTTATGGGGAATGTTATTATCCGATTTTATACATACTAATAGTTTACGTTCAGAATATTCTCAATACATTATTAGTTATTTTACCTATTATTAAATTTAAAAACGAAAATATTGTCTATCGTTCTCTATCTTTTTTTTCTCAATATTTGTAATTAAAAATCCATTAATAAGTATTTTTATGGTATGTAATATCTAGTATATACTATTTACCCACTTCTATAGGTATTTTAACTACTTATTACAGAAAGTTATGCAAAAAACTGATGAGATAATAAAACAAATAATGTTATCCTCTTTAAATTTGAGTACCTATTGAAAATGTACTCTAAATGATTAAAAAAAACAACAACAACGGAACGGAAAATTGCATTGAAAATACTGAATGTAAATTTGAAATGTTTTTATTAATGTATATTATAATATATTTTTAGACTATTAGTTAATGCACAACCAACTAGCTTTTTTTTTTTATAAAAACGTTGGTTAAGATAGTAATTAATTATTTAATATTTATTGGTGACAACAATTTAAAATTGTTGCTGTCAGCATAGCGTCTGTCAAGAAATACAAATTCCGATAAAAAAATATATTACTTATCTGATGGGTTCGATTGTTATCTTTTAAGACAGAAAATTCTTTAATTAATATAGTTGTGTATTTTAAAACATATTAACAACAAAATATGTAATATTGATTAAGGTGTATTTGACGTAAGCATATATTTTATTTATTACATGGTACCTAACGTGGATTGTTAAAATTAAAATTAAAAATAATCAATTATATATAAAAAAAGGTGGGCAAGTGGGTGTCGCTCTGCTGTACAGTAGGTTACAAGTGGGTCACTGTATAATGGATGGTATTAAATTTGAATTCAATGATATAATATCATTGTATAAGAAAAACGATTCTGAGCGGTGACGGTATGTCAGTGTATGTATAAGACATATTAATATATACTTATCTATGGTATTAAAAAAATTGACCTATAATGAATTCCAAATTAATCATATCACAATATCCATTAGGTACTTATAACGCGTTATACATCAACGAAAACCGTGATACTATCATAGATATATAATAGTACACTTTAGAAGTTTCAAGTACCTACAAATAATATTATTCAATCACAACAAAATAACTAAAATAGTTATTCTAGGTTTTTTTAATATGTAATATCGTCCAAATTTGAATTTAAAATGTCTGTAAAAAATAACTGTGTTCATATATTTTTTAGATTTTTTGGTTATAGTATGAACTATTTATGAGAACCTTTGTGTTGAATTTGTAATCCTTAGCTATAAAAACTGAACATTTTATAATTTATTAATTACAATGATTGATAATTTTCGAGATTTTGATAAATTTTGTCAAAATTTGATCTTTAAATGCTTATAAAAAAAAAACTGTGCCTATGTATTTTTAATATTTTTCAACTGCTATTGTAACAATATATCAGGAGCCTTGTATTAAATTTTTACACTTTTTGGCCCAACAGATAAAACTTTATTGATAATTGTAGAAAAAAAAACTAAAAAAATTGAAAGCTGTAAATGTCCATAAACAGCTCAAAAAGAGTCAAAATATTTTCAAAATTGTATGGTGTATAGAAAATGCTAATTTAAACATTCAGTGAAATTTTCATGTATCTACAGTTGTTCGTTTTTGAATTGCAACAAAATAAGGAAATCGCTACATGAGTAATCGAGTGAAAATCCAATGTTGTAAAAATTTGAATTTCAAACGCTCATAAAAATTTAATTCGACTGTCCGGTAGAGATTTTTTTATTGATAAAGGTAGATAATCTTATAAGGAATCTTGTGTTTCATTTTCAAATCTTAGATTTAAAAAGAAAAATTTTTACGAATTCTTAACTCAAAATAATTTGCTAATTTTCGTGATTTTTCCATATTTTGTCAATTTTTGAACTTTAAATGCTTATAAAAAAAAATTGTGACTAAGGATTTTTAATATTTTTCATCTGCCTTTGAAACAACATATTAGGAGCCTTCTATTAAATTTTCAAGCTTTCGCAACCAACAAATAAAATTTTATTGATATTTTTAGAAAAAAAACTAAAAAAAAATGGAAAATGAAAATGTCCCTAAACAGTTCAAAATAAATCTAAATATTTTGAAAATTTTATCGTGTATAGAAAATGCAAATATAAACAACCAGTGAAAATTTCATGTATCTACGGTCATTTGTTTTAAAGTTACACCAAAAACCAAATTCGATTTTGTCAAAAACTGATTTTGCGTAAAAATTCCCGTTTTTCCTTAATTTTTATGTTGTTTTTCCCGGCGCTTGTGAAAACTATTGGGAATTTTAAATTTTGACCTCCCCAATGCACCAACGATATTCACTTTCCAATCGAACAAGATACTGAAGTCGAAAATCGAAGCATTATTTCGACTACTTATCGTGTACACAGACACAAAAATAAAAAAATAAAAAAATAAAAAAATAAAAAAAAAAACACACATCATTGTAAAATCAATACATTCATCGTTTCACTCAGAATCTAAAAATTGTCACTTTTAAAATATATTATCAATTAATATACGTAAGTATAATATTAATAAGAAATATTATTTAGATTTTTCGGATTAGCTGGTATTGTCACCACCTCCACATTATTCCTCAACTTCCTCCTGTTGGCCTAAATGGACCCCATCGCCTTTCAATGCATTCTTAAACACATAACCTAGTACCTACCCCAATTTCTTATCCTAATCTGATCGGTTGCCTACGACCCGACGGTGGCAGGTTTTCTACAATCCCTACGAATATAGGTCAAGGTCTAGTTAGGGTATATCAGTCGAATGCTGAGGCCTATACTTAAACTTAATCATGTCAAACATGGGCGATTGCAAAATGTCACATACCGAAGTGCAGGGTCAGGTTGACTTGGTTGGGGTACTGTACGCTTTCGTACATGGTTTCGGACTGCCACCAAGTTCGATTCGCGTAGCTGCTGAAATCAGTCATGTAGTAGGGCGAGTGAGATGATTCGGTGCACACGTCACACGTCTTCTTGGTCACTTGACTGCCCGACTGCACACAAAATTCTGTAGGACCGGATTGGCCACATGTGTTGGTTGCTTCTACTTCTAATCCGAACGCCGCGTTTTCGAAACCCGGTATACATCTCTGCAATGGAAAAATACCAAATTGTTAGAAAACCACTGTCATGCGAATCATTGATACGATATAAAAAGCATATTGTGCATATATTATAAATTCATCTCAGCGGCCCAACTAGGGTTAACATTTTTTTTAACCTACAGTAAAATTATGCATTGTAATTGTACCAATTTAAAGACATAAATGGGTTCCTTAAAGGCAAACACAGGCATACGGCTAGTGATATTTACTGTATCATAAATTATAATATATTATAAGCAATATGAAATTATCATAAACTTTAAATAAAAATTAAATATTTTTTTTCCAAAAAATAAATAATAATATTACAATTAAACTTTAAAGGTTTAATAATAAGGTTTAATACTAATAAGTAATTATTTAATACACCATGATATAATGTACTATTAATTATTTAGCGTGCTTTTAAAGGTCACCTAAGCTTCTAACGTATTTTCCAAGTTCGATAGACAGAGAATAGATACTTTATTTTTGATTCATAAGTAATTATTTTACATTTTACACATAAATAAATGAATAATAAGCGCATGTATAGGTGTTATATATTAATAAACGCAACATTCACCTTGCATAATAATATAATATAAACACTTTTTTCTTATTAATCTCGAAACCAAATACAAATGTTTAACATAGGTAAACGTAATAATTAATGTACATAGAGGTATCTCCCAGGAATGAACGGTTTCTTTTTATAGCTGTGGACGTTTCGAATAACACGATTTACATATAACATTAATCGCTCCTACGTATGTGTAGTTTTGCAATTATTGTACGGTGATCAGGCACTTAGTCCTGCAGGTTCTCGTCTAATGTACATAATTATTTCAATAGCGATTCACGGTGAACAGTAGTTTAGTAGTTATTATTATTATTCCTGCAGCAATCGTGGATATTACGTCGTAGGCATATATTATAATATGTGCTCAAGGGACACTCGCATAATATTTGCATCCCGCAGACGATTTCTTTAAAAATGCATCAGACCTACAACGCGCTTATTCTCAGTCCATCGTTAGCCGACATAATAATATTATTTATTATTATTATTATTGTGGCTCGGCCTTCTGAACTGCAGTCGCACATGTTTTTTTCTCATTATTACGAATTGACCTTCCGGCACACGGCGGTCGCACTTGGGCGCATATGGGCCTATGTATATAATCTCCATATATATATTATTATTGTAGGTCGCTATGCAGCATTGTGTTGAAAACCGCGGGGAAGAATACGACGAATTAAATAGCGAATAAGAGAGAAAAATCCGACTGAATGCAGCAACGAGCGTTGCAGTGAGACGTCGTAACTCCCCTGCCTTTCCACCGGGGATACATTATAATAATGTGTATAGAAGCCGCACGATGTCAGACGTTTTTATTATCGGTGTAGCTGTGAATAATTGCCGGATTCTGGTCTGGATTTATATATTATTTTATTATTATTATCATTATATAGATACGCCCGGCTACCGGAATTGTACATTCGTCGTTTCGGTTTTATGTACATGCATGATATTATGTACCTATATAGGTACCTACACTCCTCTAGACAGAGCACCTCGTTATTATATCTGCGCTTACAATGCTTACAAGATAATAATATAATCGTAACAAGAATATTGTTTGTCATATACTAGACCCAAGTCCCAAAGACTCAACCTCCGCCAGTGAAGAAAACCGACGGGTTTCCGCCTCGTAGAATCCAAAATCTCTCTCTCTCTCTCTCTCTCTCTCTCTCTCTCTCTCTCTCTCTCATACTCGACACATTAATGTATCTGAAGCTAAACAAGGGGAGGATATAGGTGCAAGATAGGTACAATTTTTTTTTAATGCAGCTAATGTGGCGGGTTTTTTTCCAAGCCGCACATTAATCAACTTCTTGAATTTTTGGTTAATTTGTAATAGATATTCATTTTGTAATTTTATAAATACCTACATATACACCCATGTCTATTACAGTATTACCCCCTTAATACGCCACCAAGTCTCAAAGCGTATAATTTAAGTAGTACGAGACTACCCTCGCTGAGCTCATATATCCGTTGTCTTAAACTTGTCTCGACGCGTCAATTAACACACCAACGAAATGTACGGAAAAATATTTCACAATCAAAAACGAAACAAAGATAAACAAAATATGTATGTTATTGTTATTTTACGCTGAGTTTATGCCACCGAGTTTAGTCTTAAAACCAACAAAGGCTAGCCAACATCGTGGAATTCTCTCGTCATCAGATTAACTCGACCGTTACAACAATACATAAACAGCAATACAGCATACCTAGGTATATACTGCAGAGTGCAGATTACTTAGCTATTATGGTAATTCGAGAAATTATAAATGGCTATTCTACGATGTGATGTATGCTAAATAAACAATAAATATAATACAAACATTAATTTGTTTAGGTGGTATGGAATAATATTTTGCGAGACATAATATTATTTCACTAAAAATGCATTTTTGGCACGTTTATATACTATAACTACCTAGGTAGCATATTATTTTTCGAAATCTATTGAAGTTTGTTATTGTACGACATCGTGCTAAGATTTTATGGAAAATAATTTCAATCAGGTTTCGCGGTTCTATTTTAAGCTGTTGTAACTTGTAATGTTGTATTACTGCTTATTGAATTTTATCGAAATACTAGAACCCAGTCAGTTTTATTTATTTATTCTTAACAACTATGGTGATAAATAGATAAACATCATTAAACATATTGTACGCATACAAATTGCAATGAATAAAATAGTGTAATTTCTTAAATTAGAAAAGAAGCGTTAATTATATGAAATATCATATTTCTGTATACAATTCACATTATACAGCTTAAGTAAATTGTCGGGAAAATGGAAAGTCAGTACACTGCAGCTTTCTGATGCGTGAAATAATATTATAATAATAATCAAATATGATTTATGCGATGAGCCTTAAATTAATTTGTTGTGATCGGTTAATCTCGGATAAAAAGATTTTTTTATTTCAATTATCAATGGCAGTTAAAATGTGTACCCTCTATCCAAACATATTAGGTATGACTGTTTATGGTTATTAATAATTATTAGTTATATTATATTATTATATTTTATCGTGCAATGAAATGACTAAGGATATTACTTTGGAAACTTTCTTTAGTATTTTTTAAATTTTCAATTACATGTAAATAGTGAAATATAATTCGATGACCTTTTTGGAATAGCATAAGTATAAGTCGTCATTGAGAGGGTGAGCTGAGTAGTATTTCCCTGGGCCTAGGACAATTAGAATTGTAATTTTAATATTGACTGTTGTTACTTGCTAATGCATATTTTATTATATACAACTGCACTTTGTTCATTTAAAAACAACTTACTTTTTAAATCAATAGCTAATTATATCTCTGGGGCTCATCGCACTTGAATAACATAAAAGTGATTAAGTAAAATACATGGATTGAATTTCACTTGAAAACGTACACAAAAATAATGTTACTTTCGACGCAGTGTATACTATAGTTATATACGTTTATATAAATATATGTTATATCACATAATGTGTGTGTGTTATATTTCGATGTTTAAAGACACATTGCCCAAATTACCACATGTTTATTATTTCTAATCTATAAAGAAAACTACGTATTCCCAATGATTGGTATAAAACATGACCGCACACAATGTCACGGAAGACGCATCGGTGCGGTGTATGATCAAAGGGCCCAATCGTGTCAGAATATTATAGATAACGATATGACGAGACGAATAGATGTCCAGAAATGGATTTGTGTACACACTTAGAGAAAAAAATGTAGCAACGATAACCAAAACGCGAAGTGTATAATGCTGTATGGTATACATTATCTTAATATCTATAATAATGCATACATATATATGAGTGTAAAATAAAAATAACTGGCATAGTGACATGTGTGTGTATGTATGTGTGTGTGTGTGTGTGTGTGTGTGTGTGTGTGTGTGTGTGTGTGTGTGTGTGTGTGTGTGTGTGTGTGTGTGTGTGTGTGTGTAGTTAGAATATATGGTCGAAGTGAGCATAATAATGTATTGGGTGTAAGGGGGAGAAGGTGGGCACATTATATTGCGACGTCACATTTCTTCAGATCCATTCCAAATTTCGTCAACAAAAAAACACTGCGCCGGGACTATCCTATATATATATTATTATTTTATATATAAACCAATCGCACGTGTTGGTAGCCTTCACACACATATTATAATATACGTACATAATAGATAATAGGAATACTATTGAATATTTTAACTCCTATCACGTCCCGAGATGCATAAAAACGGGATTTGAATTAATCTCATCCAGTTCGATTCGATTCGATTCGATTATTATTATTATTATTATTTAATTTTTTATCACAAGTACATCCGGAAACCGGTGTTTGAGCTGGGCTCGTTTAATCGACCGAACGATCGTCCTCGGATCCTGCCATACCATGTCTAAGACGAGAGCATTATTATTATTATTATTATTATCGTTTCCGTCAAAAGTGCCGAACGGTTTCGAAACATACTCAGCTGCTTTCCGTTTGATCGGGGACCCCAGAAAATACGGACAAATAACGTTGTCCGTGCTGTAAAATGTCTTCACGGGCTGTCACGTCTCAGCATAAACGGTTTGCCGTGCTGTCCACCGTCGTCTTTTTACGGTTCGCCTATCTCGTACCTATCATAATTATTTTTACATAATACACCGTTTATTGTAGTTTTCCCTCTGTCGTCGTACCGTATACCACTATACCATATACCTATACGATCAGTTATTCACTGTTACCGTATGCAACGTCCATGATATTATTATACACAACCGACGAGTTCAGTGCGAACGTACATTTATTATAATATTTTGTAGTAATAATATCGTGCTGAGGAAAAGGGTCCCTTGAACATGGCGGCTACTGTTTATAAAATTAGACTGGAAACTATCCTCGACCCGAAACAGATGTCACGAAACTACCGGCACGCTGACGCCTTACACTGCGCATTATACGTATATCACAGGATAGCACGAAACTTGTAAAATAAAATATACCTCTCAGTCGTTTTACATCCCAACTGGAACACAAGATGAGTGACGAAAACATTAACTGATTGCAGGAATATTCGTAAATCATGCTGTTATATACTTATATCGTATATACGGTTTTACTAATGAAACAAAAACGATCGCCTGAATATATTTTCACTTTTATAGATGGTACCTATACGAGTGTTTATGTTTATATTATTATAAAAAAGATAAAATAAACGAATTTCAACAAATTAATGAGTCAGCATAGGGTTTATACTATTATGAACTGCCGCAGCAATAATATAATATAGTCAACAACCTTGTTTCTATTTTGAATTTTCACTAGGTATATTTTTTAAAGTTCATTTTACTTAATATGTAAATTTAAAGATTATTAGATAGATAATAATTAACAACTGACGGGTTTTGGGTTTTGGGCACTAATGTAGGCACCATTTAAAATATTACATCAAACGTCAATAAATTTTAAACTGAGAAGTGAAAAATAGTGAATCTAGGTGTTTTGATCACGTAAAGACGTAACCGAAGTAGCAATGTGTGTGGGAAGTGGGTAGTACAATATATTATATAGACATTATACGCGTTTGATAAAATCTCAAATGTGTACGTGATGACCACAAAATAATATTTTGCATGTACCTACCATGTATACACTTAAATGAATATTATTTTTTAATTCAATTCTTATGTTTCTAATATATTATTATCAAGTATCTATTAGACTGGATTTGAATATTTTTATTGATTAATCGGAAAAAATAAAGTTACTGGTAAAGGTACCTTTAATATCTATCTATAAATATAGGTATAAGCAACATATTATTTAGACCATATTATATAGATAAGGCAAGACTGTTGCATAATTTAAATCACCTACAAAATACAAAATTGCTTTAATGCAACTCTCGCGAAATGAATTCTACAACTATTAATACGCGGCCAATGTATTACTCGTTTCTCAGAAATCTATCAACTGATATTTTGAGCTAATCACATTCATTAATTGATAACAAATTATAAGGTATAATGCCACATAATATATGAATAAAAAACAAGGCAGTTCACAATTTTATACTGATGTAAAATTTTTAACACATAATTTTTATTTTTAATAATTTATTGTGTGTGATAATATGTTTTAAATTAGACAATAATGAGTAAATAATATATTATACGACATACTCAATTGTTGAAAAAATCATATGGGAGTATTGTGAAGCTCAGATATTACAGCAATTTTGAATTATATTCTCCTTTATAAACTATATAATACAACCCGACGCCCTTGAGCCATGCTTATATACTCGCTGAAATCCAATGTTCATCTTAACCATATCACCACTGGACCCAAATGGAAAAAAAATTTTTTTTTCAGTTCTCCGATTATTCCTTAGACTGTAAACAATACATTCCTTCGCCTCGGGCCGAGGTTTGTTTTCTATGGAATTCGTGATCGAAAGAAAAAAGGTCGACCAACAAAAGATTTTGAAAACTAACAGGGTTACTCCATATGCAAACATTGGTATTACCACATAATAGAACGGAATAGCGATGATGATGTTATAGCTTGCAGTGATACTATGTGCAAAACCGATTAGATATTTTCCAAAGTACCCGACTTGGCAAGGTAATCTTTAAAAAATAAAATTGGCAATAGTAAAATCGTAAATTGTCCAAGCAAACAGTTACCTACCCATATAAAATTATAATTTATGTGTATGGCCGCGTCGATTAAATTATTCTCATCGCAATCATTTAAATTTAAAGTATAAAACGTGATTGAATTTTTCCTCATAATAAAAAAAAAGAACCAGTAATATTTAGATAAAATGTCGTTTACGGTTCATTGTTTTTGGCATGGTCGCTATCGTTTATAGTTTTTCGTTACACGTTGTACACAATAGTTATATGTACCTACATCATGTATATAACTTAATACAATAATATTATCGATAACCATCAGTATAGTACCTAATATAGAGGAAAAAGGGTTGGTCTCGGACGACGACACGACGACGACACGCTTTACGATATAATATAATTCTTTTCCGTCAGTCGGCCGGCATGTTATTTACAAAAAAAACTCAAATCTATACGACGAGTACAACTATGTTCGAATATTACCCAGTGTTTTTTTTCTTTTTGGATGGACGCGTCTGCGTGAGGGTTACAAGACATACTTATATCATATATAAATAGGTACATATAGGGGTCGCGTGATTCGACGTCCTACCTTATGATTACATCACGTAATCGTAGTAGTAATAATAATAATACGATATCTGACGGGCACTCGGTATAGAAAAAACTCTGGGCGAGACCTACCTGAGGTTTGTTGCGTTCGTCGTAACATTGATTGCCGCCCGTGTTGTAGATCGGTTCGACGGGGATGGTGACGTCGGGTACGGCGGCGACTAAAGCGGCAGCCACGACCGCGGTCAGCAGCAGCGACAGCGGCGACATCGGAATCAGCTTCATTTCCGGCAAGATCGGAACGTGCTGACGTGAGTGTAAGGGGGTCGTAGGGGTCGTCACAAGAACCGCATTTTTCCTGGGAAAACGCGGACGGGGTGAAAACGGAAACGAGTCGTCCTGGAAAATATCCTCCTGCAGAGTTCGCCCGCAGTTGTGTGTGTCGCGCACGGGTTTGCGAGCGTGTGTGAGCTAGTGCGTGCGTGTGTCGGTGCGTGCTGCGATCTCAAAGGGTCACCACCACCACCACCGCGGCATGTGGCGGCCAAATGTGCGCGAGTATACGAATGTGTGTGTGTGTGTTTGTGTGAGTAAGTATATAATATAATGTGGCGCGTTTGGTACAGATCGGAGACTGGAGAGAAGGAACAGAGATATATAGAGAGAGAGATAAATATAAATATATATAAATAGAGAGAGAGAGAGAGATAGAGAGATATGAAATATACAGACAGTGAGAGAGACAGAGACGGAGAGACGGAAACGAAGAAGACGACGACGGCGAGACGCACGTGAACACCGAGACCACCGAACGCACACTACGCACGTTTTCTATCGGGCGCGCTACGGGATGCTGTCTGATGACTGTCGAGTGTAGCACGCAGCAGCTCTCCTATCAGCCGGACCGCCGCCGCCTCCACCTACTCCACCACCACCACCCTCCCAAACAGTCGTTCTCTTTCGCTCCGATTTTACTCTCGTTTATTATTATTATTATTATTATGATTTCGTACGCGTTCGTCCTAGTCTGACCACCGTTATACAGTGTATAGGTTAGAGCACCGCCTCTTTTCTATAATTATTTTAATACCACCCTTATTATATATATAATATTAATAACAATTTAAATTATCCTTTTAATATTATAACACTATAATATAATAATATGGACCTGCATCATGTCCGTCGCCGGCAATGTCTTTATGTATTTATTATTATATTAGTACACTCAAGCACACCGCCCGAGAGGTATTGACATTTAAATTCAAATTTGCGTGGGAATTTATTCGTTGGTTATACCTATATGGTTAAATTATATTATACAAAACGCCTTTTATATGTCAGTTTTTTTCTTAACAAACATAGTGAAAAATAAGAGCAGTTATATTTTGAAACATATTTATACACTCTTGTAGGAAACAGTTTATTAATTTATTAAGTACTAAATTTTTATTGCAATTTTATTCGTTCGTCCACCAGAGTCCATCGCTATTATTAAAGTTATAGTATTACCTACGATATGATTATGCACGATTCAATCGTCATCTTATACATTTATCATAAAAAAAAAATGTGTTACACTAGGTACTATTTCTAGTTTAAACTATATTTTATTATAATAATAAACCGTATTTATAGTCAGCTATTATAATACACATAATATGCCCGAGGAGGAATGAACGTGAGGGGAGAGAGAGGTAGGGGCTGACGGCACATTTGAATGCTTATAATTAAATAATAAATTATATATTATTATTTTACAATGCTAATTTTCCTTTATTACCTATATGTAATATACATAAATACCTACATAATGAAATAATATTGTATGTATGATATTATATATATATATATATATATATATATATATATATATATATATATTATATGTGTAATATATATGTATCTTTAATGAAGGATTGTAAAGTAAGTGGTCAATGTGTACGACAATCGTTCAAAAACCAAGGATCAGCATTAAAAACAACCATGTACCTACCTAGGGCAACACAATCCTAAGTACGTACGGCACAACAACTTACATGTACACGCACACAATATTTTGTAATAATTATTGTCAATCCGAGTAAACAATAATATTAGTCAAATACAAATCATGCCAAAAAGCAAATTATTTACACGCTTCGCGGTTATTGCTGCAGCTATCGTCTTATAACGTATCCCAAGTATTCTCCTATATTATTATATAAACGAAATAATATCAACAAGTCTCATAATTATTTCATAAGAATACGTCATTCTCATCAGCTGTTGCTAAATAATTTCCTTTGATTTTTTTTTTAAACATATATTGTGGTGACAATCAATTTATTTTACTTATAGAGATCGTAGCAGGTATACCATAAACTCTGTTCTTGTCGTTGCTGTATTATAGTGTTGTTCAATCCGTGTTGAAAAGTATACTATAATAACAATTTAGGTGTTAAGACCGCTATAATATATTGGGGGCTGTGAACGTATTATTATTAATGTTATTGTTTTTTTTTTTGTTGTTGTTTTATGGCTTTGCAACGATATTATTAAAATAACCCTTGCCTGACCTCTGATACGACCATCACATGGTCCGTAGTTTTTAATATTTTGATTTCTTTCGCTTTCTAATACCATAGGTATAAGTATGTATAATAATATATTACAAGTACACTCCGAAAGAATTTTAAACGCCATATTAAATTAGTTCGGTAAACGGGTATCTATTATTTTTAATAGGTACTATATCTACGACGAGGCCTTATATTATAATATCCTACCCGTTATAATTAAGTTATTAAACCACGATTAGTACAACATATTATTATTATTACGTATGATAAGTTGTATTGAAATTGTTTTTCACCAAGAAGCGCCGAAACACTGACTCGATTTTCATTTACCGATCGACAGACGAAGCGGCCACCACGAATCGTTGGGAGCTTATCCGAACATGTCGGCAGAAAAATCAAATCTAACTAATAACCATCAATCTAAAACACATGTACGTGTAAGAGTATTGCCGAAAAGTAATGAGAGTTATTTTGAAATTGATTTCGACATTCGCAATGATAATTATACACATGTATGTTATAAAGATCGTGGGCCATGCTCGAAGAACATAATATTTTAGTTTATAACTGTACCTATACTACCACTATAGTACTGTTGTACAGTTCGTTTTAAAATATTAAAACAGATTTATCGCCGGCAAGCTAAAGTTTCGCGTTAATTGCTCGGGCCTGCAGTGAGTGATTCGATGTAGGTGCCTCCATGCAATATAGACACAGTCAAGTTACAACCTACGTAATGGCACGGTATTTTGTTTTAAGCGAAACGACGTGTAATGATGCGTGTAAATCAATCGTCGTCATACCCATAATATTAATATTATAATGTATACCATACTTAGTCTCGTGTTTTTAATAATTATTTTCGTTTTGTTTTGCAACGGCCGTCCTCGGCGTGGCGACCGACGACTCGACGTTCGCCACGAAATTCGTGCGGGGGGAAGTCGTTTTCGGTTGTCCACCAAAGTGATCAATGGCACACCTACCTACGCACGTTTACCTGACCACACAATAATATGATAATATGTATGTATGTATGTATGTATAGTAGTGACTGGTGAGAGACAGAGATAGACATAGAGAGAGAGGGAGAGAGCACACTCGGCGTGTAAATCGGAGTGGCGGTTGCAGGGAGGGGGAGACTCGGACACTACATCCATTCATACCGGCACGGCGGACGAGATCCGCAGCCAAGTCCTCTCCCATTCAACGAACGCGTGGGTTTTTAGTACTCTTTATCGAGTTATCGGATATAATATTATTATTATTAAAAATTACACACCTGTTGCTATCGACCTCCCTCTCTCCCTCCACACAGCAACGGTCTCGCTGAAAACGCGTTATCTCATTTCCATCGCTGTGCATTGAAGAAGTTTTTAAGTCTTATCTCCATTAATAATAATAATAATAATATTTAATAATACGCATAGGTACGTCCGTCGCGCGTGCTGTTCGGAAAATAATAATTATTCATATAGGTACCTACTGTCTATAGGTCGGAAGAACGTAACATAATATTATTTTTACACAGAAACTAAGTTATACACGCGTGCATCTTCGTCGACACAATATAATACTATAACGCTGTCTTCCGGAAAACCAGTTTGCGCGCATTTATCACGTTGAAAAGTAAAAACCAACGGTTTTGTACTATTTTACCGAAATTTAAAGTGTACGTAGGTATAATAGCGTCGCACAACAGCAGACTCAACTCGTTTTTCTCTTTCTAGATGCCACTATATTATATTACTTTGGTAGGCACTATACACAAACACTAACCGAATATACAGTTTTAATGTCAACTAGACATTTTACCAAAAATATCATTATAATCACCGTGTATAATACGTCTTATAATATATTTATAAGAGGTACTATTATTTTATTACAGTGTTATTACAGCGTGAACCGCCTTGAAAAACGAATTTATCAACGTTCACTCGGATTAATAATAATATTATATTGTATATAAGTCGTATCATATTATTATACTAAAATCAATGGTTGTATCTAATTTGCGAGCGTCTTCTGTTATTTTCTCTGGTAAACTGTTGCACACCAGCTGCAATCAAAAAGTTTGATCGGCGAACGATTGGAAATCTCTGAAATCAAAACGCCATCGTACCTATAAAAATGCGTTTAGTATAATATCAAACTTTTAGTTCCGAAACAATCTTAATTTTTCCACCCGATCATATCGGCCGTGATCGATATTATTATTTTCGGACACACGATCGTCGTAATCGATTTACATTTTAATAGCATTAGAAAAGCTGTTTTACAGCCACCTTACATAGGTACATAACAGTATTCGTATCGGCGTATCTGATCTTCTGAATTCATTCGGTGGTACCTATATACGTAGCATAATATATACGCATCGGCATAATACATAATAATAATAATATACATAACACTATAACAGTGTGTTCCAAAAGTATACAAATATTATATTATATATCATTAAATATAGACCACACGCACCATATATACCTATAGGTACTATATTATAATACATAGGCAGGTACTATAGCTAAATTGGCTTTGAACTATTTTACCATACACGTCTTCGTGTAATCAACATTTATCGAGTAATAATTATTATTATATGTACATATTTCCCGTTAAAAATTCGATTTAAACTGCTCTTTTAAAACGACGCTAAACGCAATACTGCTGCAGAGAAATCGTTAACACGATGATTTATCGATGCCGTCATAAGATAGG